GGGCTGAATAACTTCCGCAACAGTCATGTTTTGTCATTTTCAACAAACATTTTCGGTGAATGTTTGGGCTGGCATGGTGAACGGTATGCTCATTGCGCCATTTATTCTCCCAAATCGATTGGACGGGATGCAATACCTAGACTTTTTACGCAACATTTTACCTTCCTTGTTAGAAGACGTGCCATTAAGTGTAAGACAATCCATGTGGTTTCTGCGTCTGCTCGGTAGCGCATCAGCTGATTTCATTTTCTGTGGGAGCGGTATGATTTCGGGTAGAGACGTACTTAGCCCTTCTCGTCAACTGGAGAGTGAGTACTTTTTCCTTTATTTTTTTTTACTTGGTCGTACTAGTTTCACTACACATTACCTTTGTTATTTCAAGGGTAGTTGTTTCCCTGTATATACTGAGTGACAAAACAATTAAGCACCTACGTATGTCTATTAGAATTCAAGAATTTTAAAAATATCGATTTATCTTGCCATGAACAACACATTTTTTTGTCACTCTGTATATAATCTCAAGCGTCGTGGAAATCTCTGTATTAATGGGCATTGGAATCCAAACAGAAAGAAAAATATCAAGCATAGTAAAGTACGAGTAGATATGACTTGTAGAACTTCAAACATTTTTTTGAAGTTGACCCCCCCCCCTTTATGTTTTAAGCTGCCTGAACTTTTCTGTGATACTTACCACCTTATTCGAATGTCTATTCCTCTAACTGTTCCTCTTCGATAAATGCGGAATCTCAAAATAAAACCAACAAGTTTGTTTTTTCCAACTATTCTATTCTATGTTGCCGCTGTATTCTCAGTACCCTTAATTGCCTGATCCTCGTGACGTAACATTGTTCGTAAACGCCTAAATCGCTTTCGCACCATACACTATTACAGTAACGTCGTATTTCGCTGGAAATTGAACGTAAATACTTAATAAGTTAGCACGTAATTACGTGTCTGCCCTGCCCTCCGAGAGTCATTCTTTCTCTCACACTATACAGACCATCAATCAGTCATGGTTGTCGCCCAATCGCCACAGAATGGGGAAAAATGATGCCCGTTCTTGTTTAATACCCTTCGCTTTATACTGCCTGGAACTGTTACTTGCCTCTTGGTCGTGAATATACAAATTGCAATGCTCCATTCCGAAAGATTCAGAGACGCAAAACGATGATACACTTTTTGTTCAATTACGAGTACTTTTCATATTGTCCATATTTTTTGATGGACGAAGCAGGGGATTGGCGGCTATCAGTTTATCTCGATCTCCAACCAGGACTATACAATACGAATTAATACGAAAATCGAATTAAATGTCCTACTAAGTTTAACAATGAAATTGCCGTTCGCGTTTGCACAGTTCGTTAGTTACCTGCGGCGTGTATCAGCTATGGATGCCATTATTTGCGACACGTACTCAGGATAGAAGGAGAGGGTCTAAGATAGGACGGGAGGCTGGCTGCTGGCAACTAACTAACCGAAATCCTTACACATCAAAGCGACGGTGGATATGTTCCTTCTCTCTACCTCTCCCTGCTTCTTCGCCCTTCCGGCCCGCGGCTTCGTTGTTGCCTTTGTGCCCTCTCAATGAACTAACCGAGTTAATGTGCTCTCATCCATTAGAGGCAACCTTGTGTTGTTCCGCTCGCGTTCGTACGTAATGTTATGGCACGAACGCGACTACAAGGAATATATTTAGAACAAGAAGCAAACTGTACATCCCATGAACATCAAAATATAATCCCTACTGATATTATAAATGTGAAAAAGTTAGTTTGCATGTTTGTACGTTCCGTTTTCACGCCAAAACGGCTAAGCTGATTGCGATAAATCTTAGCATAGGGTGACTTCGAAGTTGAGTCATTTATTTTAACAGTGAGTAGATCTGATCAAAAGAAATGTTTTTTTCCTTTACCATTTTTCTGGTAAAATTAAACTAACAAAGTTATAGCCCTTTGGAAGTTTGAGTACCGCCCTGTCTCAATAATAATATTATGTGCTCGTGTTTGGCGACAACGGATATAATTCGCCTTATCGGTTCATCGCATCGGAAACAAAAAAGCGAAAGAATTTGGAACGATGTTTTTACAATTATTTCATTCAGTTGTCTACAGTCAGTGTCAGTCGGTAGTGGATAGTGGTGTCTGTTGCGTGGCTCAAACGAAATAAAAAATGGCACATGTTTATGCTTATCGGTTTCCCAATCGAGTGCAACCAACCCCTCGTGCCTTTGTTAATGTAGTACAACGGGTTCGTGAATCATTTGACTTAAGACCTCACATATGGACGGCATGCCGGTGCTCCAAGACCTCACGATCAAATACAGGTCCGCACTGAAATACTTGTCGGGAGGATACTTTATAAAACAAGGTAAAAATTTTTTTTAATTTTTTTTTATTTTTACACGCATATTTTGGTTTATCTTCCTTCTACAATCATTATCTGAAAATAATGACTCAACTTCAAAGTCACCCTGTATATAGATTAGACGTGATCCATGCTGTTGGACTGTCTCGCCTGTGAGTAACTCCTTCCGTCATCTGGTCGGACATTTATCCCTCTATGGAAGCGTCGAGAAATGTTCCAGCGTTTTCCTCTTTGAAAAGGACCTAAGAACCTTTTTTCTAGCCGCTTAAAAATAGTATATTTGATGAATGAAAGGTGAGCATACGTGAAACGATCGACGGTAGGTGTTGTCGGTATCGTTTGTGTCTAGCTGTGTGAGACAATGGCCGGTGTGATGAGCCTCTCACACTATCGGCACCGGCAGCCGAGTCCTATTAGGAGCCCGGCTCCTGATTACAGTTACCGAACAACCGCGATTCATTAATCTCTCTATTGTGCATGAAAAGAAAAACGATCTTCTTCAGATCAAACGAGGAATGCGCCGGTGTACGTTTTTTGTCTTTATGTAAATTCTCAGATACGGACGGAAAACGAATGATTCGCGTATGTTCGTATCAGATTTCTTTTATATTCGGAGAAATCGCGTAGGCTGAAACCTAATTACCACAATGCTGCTATGCGAGAAACTCAAAGAAACCTGATTAATCTGATTTTTGAACTGCCTGAGCTTATACTCGGGTACCGAAAAGGAAGAGAGTTGCTAAATATGGGGATCACTATTATATTGGTAATGTAGCATTTTTTGGGTTCTTTTGGGTGTAGATTAAAACACTGGATTCCACAAAAAGAAATGCACTAATCTATTTAAGTGGATAAAACATTTATATACACCACTATTTATGTCTGACTAATTCTTGTGTCACCATTGATGACTGCACTCAACCTCCCGGCTGCCGAATGATATAGTCCCAATTGCTACTTCAAGAAAGAACGAGTGTCCCACAAAGCGACATCTAGAATGTTGGAGATCACTTCGCGTCGATCTAGAAGGCGATCCACAGTCACAGTCCTCACAGACGCCGCCAGGCGTCTTGTGCGGTCGTGTAAAAGCAGAGATCGGCAATTAAGCTCTGGCGAGTAGGGGACTCGCCCAACAGATGGCGCTATTTGTCACAGTATGCTACATCCGACGTTTCCAAGGTTGACATTTTCAAAAATAAAACCTTCAGAACGTTTGTCATTTGAGCACGATTTGTGTTGTTGATTGTTACTGTTAAAATAAATCACTATAATAACCCCAAGAAGCTTGTGCTCTCCTTGTTTTTAGTTAAATTTGACAATTGACAATTTGAATTACACTAAATTACTTACTATATAAGTTATTTGATGTAATTTGCTTAGTACCTATCATGATATACCATTGTATCATTGTTAGGTAACTATTTTATTCCAAAACATTCTATTATTTTTTACACGTGCCCCAAAAACAACCAGAAAAAACTGATCGTACCGCAGGCAAAAATTGCCGATACGTCATATCTGACTTTCAGCCCGTTGAAAATATCAAAGAGGCATCGGCAGTCATCGCATCAAAGAGACCAATCAACTGTCATTGAACCGGAAAAAAATTCAAATTAACTTTAAATCCTGACAGCAGCACAGAGCAGCTTGTATAAATGTAAAAATCGCTCCGTTACAGAGACGGGGGAAAAGCCTGTAAAACGATCCTTTTTGTATACGCTGCAAGTAATTTAAAATGCGATTTAAACTCTCTAATGACTTTTTTCTTTTTTGTGTAGGCTATCAGCCACGCATTTTTTATAAGCTCGCAGTTGATATTTTTTCAGTTCGAATCACAAACACTTGGTTTTGCTCGCTATTTGCCTTTTGGAGATTCTGAAACATTCTCAATAATTTTCGTTTGAGGTACTCACGAGATGTTCTTTTATACCAGTGAACAAATCGTAAGAAGCATATCCAAACTCGAAGGTGGGTTTTCCAAAGTCACATTTTACGTGAACCCAAAACCGATATAAAATGTAACAATTATATCTGGAAAATTGCACTTATAAGCTATGGCACCAATCTAGATTTGGAACAGTTTAAATTCCGATTCAAATTAGAATCTCTGGCGGTAAATATTCATTTTTCATGCTAACTTTAATTTTTATATCTCCGTCATCCTAAGCTCATGATCCGCAGTTTTTTATGTCGCTCTCGAACTTCAAAATCATACTGCTAGTGTCATCTAGCGTTATATTTCCGTATTAACTTTTTTAACTGTACAGGAAACTTAATCGTTGCATGTGTTTACATCTATCAATAAGCTTCATAATTTCAATACGCTTTCAGCAGGTGTCTGTATTATCGACTGCGAGATAAAACTCCTGTTACTCAAAAAGACAAGTATTGTTGGCTGCCATCTTTGTCCCATGATTAATCAAAGCATAATTATGAAACAAACGCACCGGTCATTATTCACTGAAACAGTCGGTTTTTACTCCTTAGTTACGAATGGAGCTTGGTAGATACATTTCTTAATGAAATCTCTTAAATTTAATGTACAGAGTACAGACTCATAGGACTGAAGATGACGGATACGAATACTTTTCTCCTGTCGCTTCAGCTAGAGTCAATTTTCAATCTATCATTTGACAGTTAGGTTGACGTGTCCAAGAATGACGTGTATCTAACCTATTTTTTCGAAAAGTTTTTAAAAGTGAAATAGGAAAATACGGATTTTCTCATCTTGCGAACGTAAAAACAATTTTCCTTCAAAATGGTTATGATGACCATGATTGCCCGGGTGGTAGACGGCCTACCCCTAGCAGCAACTATGCAAGAAGATGAACAAGTACGTAAAATTGCAATATTGTACAAACTTGAATTGTTATCAATGTTCGAATTGTAGTCCGGCAGAAATATTCTCGATTATCAGAACCAGGCGAAGATGCTGTTTCGAAAATTCGGGCCGCAGTCACCTCCTAGATGTAGCATAGAAACGGGACCATATCTTTTCCAGTAAGTGAAAGTATACCGAAATTAGTGTTATTTTTGCATCACCTTGCATTATTTTTGCAGCTACCTCATCGAATATGACGTGTGTTACTTAGTGTTGTGCGAGAAGAACTATTCGAAAAGATTAGCATACTCTTATTTAGAAGATATCGCTCAGGAATTCCACAAGCAATATGGCAGAAGAGTGAACTCGGTGACAAGGCCTTATTCGTTCATCGAATTCGATAACTACATTCAGAAAGCTAAGAAAACATTCACGGATTCTAGATCTAGAAGGAACTTGAATGCTATCAACAATCAGTTGCATGATGTCCAGAGGATTATGGTTCAGAATATTGATGATGTTTTGCAGAGAGGAACAGTTTTATCAGGTGAAAAAATGATCTAAAAACCTTGCTTATATTTAAGTTATATTTTCTTTTATTTTAGAACTGGACTCCAAGACACAAAACCTTTCAATGCTGACAGAAAAATACAAAAAAGACGCCACATATTTGAACACAAAGTCATTCTATGTAAAGGCGGCAGTAGGTGGGATTGTATTACTTGTATTTGTTCTGTATTTTTGGGTATTATAAGGTAAAAAATGTTTTAATAATATGCATATTTATTATTTTATATGAGAGTTGGCCTAGGTGAAAATGCAGTCAATAAACATACCTTTATGTTAAGATTTGATGTAGGTGTTGGATACTACAATTCTTTACTCAAAAGTTGCAAACTTTACATCACTTTTTTCTTGACTAACTCTCACTAGATTTGTTGTATTACTTTTTCCAGTCTATTGATTGCCAACATTTTAAACTTCTACTTGGTTATTTATGTTCAATGATATGTAAAAAGAGCATTTATAAAGCAGTGTTACAAATTAGGGGGATCACAAATATACTTTTCCAAGTATTGTTTTATTGGGGAAACACTGTGATATATAATCTGATTTTTCCATTAGTTAGTGGTACAAGATATTTTTATGGTTTGTCATCATTATACTGTCAATAATAAAAAAGGTAAAGTGGTCACTTTTTGTTTGATTTGACCAATACTTGTTTGCCTTCAAGTGTAAATGAAAAAAAATGTATACCCAAAAAAATAACATTTTTATTTTATAGAAAACGTAACAAAATTAAATATAATACATCTGAAAATAATGAAATAATCAATTCAAAATAATCACTCTTCGTCTGAAGATGCTTCTTCACCGGAATATTCTGAAATGAACAGGAGGTTCTTCAAAGATTTGTAAATATCTTCCTCACCATTTTTGACAATACTTTCGACAATTTCATTTCCCGTTTTTTCTTTTGCATCTTCACCTACAGTCTCATCTTCAGTATCTACAATAATAATCCCAAAAAAGTAAAATGTAACTAAATTAATAACAGCAAAGACTGATCTGTTTTTTGTTAGGAAATAAAATAAAGGGTTTTTATCAAATTTTACCTGAATCAATAATGTTATAGCTACAGACATGATCCTTCAAAACAACATGAATTGTCGGATATTCGATAATAAGCTTCTTGGCAAGTGCTTTTTTAAGACTATCATCAGGATCCAGTTCAAAAAACTTTTTTCCAGCCTTCTGCTCGGCTTTGAGCAAGAGTCTCACACCAGGCACTCCAACAGCACTATAATACTGCAACGTCTCATTTTTCCCTTCCGAAGCATTGTTATTTTGTTGGAGATGTTTTCCAACAGCTAAGCCTAATTTTTCAGTCTCAGGTACGCATTTATCAGCTACTTTAAGGTTATCAGCATTCACAAAGATCCAGTCTACGTGCCACTGTATCTCGGTCCCTTTGATTCTTGTTGTGTTTTCTTTATGCCTTTGAAATTTGAATGGCAGGAACTTTATACTTGTTTTTCTGGCACTGCACATCTTTTGGAGCTTCCACAAATACTGAAAAAAGTCGATCTTTTTAAGATAAATTTGGATAATAACGAAAACTGTCAATTAAAATAGGTTTCAATAATGTTTGAAGCACGTTTCCTGAAATAAGAACAAGGTAAGTTCAAAGAAGGAAAAAACATATACAATCAATTTTGTTGGCTTATGCAACAATGTACCTTCGATATATTGTCATATCTCTTTCCGAAATTTTTTCTAGAAGCCTCCAAACCTCTGGTTATCTCCTCTAGAAGCCTATAATCGCTGGACATTTCCAAATTGGTGAACCTACTTAGAGGGATAAACTTTGCGCGGTCTCTTTCCCCATTGCATTCTACTTCTAGCTTGTGGATTTTATTGCATTTTAATGAACACGTCTTCACTTCACACCGAGGGCAAGTGTATTTAGCTTCGTGAAAAGCGCAAACTTCGCACGGGCCCAACCTATAAAAACAGCACGAAAAAAATGAAACGTTTTTATAGAAAAGCCAATGTAATACCTTGAGGTAGTGGCTTGCGAGCTAGTACCAGGTTCAGATTTGATATCTGATGGTTCGATATCTACTTCCATTCTTTTCTGGTTTGAATTTCAAAATAAACTGATTTTGAAGATTTTTTAAACTAACAGACGCAGGCCTAGCACATGTTTCTGACAGATGTCAAACTGACGTTTGATAAACATCCCACAAAAAATATAGAGCGCTAAATCTTAGTAGAAGATGACAGAAAGGCAAATCGTTTTTAGCAAATTGTTGAGACATGGAGTAAATCCGGTCATCTGATCATTGCATTGCACCTCATTTACTTCTTAATTGTCGAATCAAAATTTTCATCTGACATTTCCTTTTGATGTTACAGCGTTCTATATTTTTTGACAAACAATTGACAGTGTCTTTCAGGGGCACCAGCCTGAAAATTCTCATTGTAGCCAATCATCAAGTGAGAAAGATCTCCAAATGGTTTATTTTTCAAATTACATTTTCAGATCATTTAAGGTGGATTGCTGACACATTCAGTGAATCGACCAATCAGCAAAAACTACAGTTAGTAATCTGATCATTGCATTGCACGTCCTTGATTGCTGAATTAAAATTGGGATTTAACATTTCTTTTTGATGTTCTATGGTATAGCGCTCTATAATTCTTGTTAAATTATTGACAGTGTCTTTTAAGGGTATCAACCTAAAAATTCACATTGTACCCAACAGTCGAGTTAGAAAAATCTCCAAGTTGTTTAATTCACAACACATTTTCTGATTCCATAAAAATCGGTCCCATAACTCCCACACGATGTGGCGAACGCGTTACAACGTTGACACATGGCCAAGTTTGAAGCTAAGCTAGAGAATTACCGAGGCTTGTGAACTGGTACCAGGTTCAGATTTCATATCTGATGGTTTGATCTGTGTTTCCATTCTTTTTTTAGTTTCAATTTGAAAAATAAACCGAATCAGAACAATTTTTAAAATCAACCAGGCCCAAACTTTGTAAACATTCCTGACGTATGTCAAAGTGAGTGAACTAATAATTGACACCCTACAAAAAATATAGAGCGCTATATCCACGTGAAGATTTTAGTGAAAGGCAACAGAAAATGAATCCATTTTTGAGGGCTGTTGACACGTGGCATAAATCGGCTAACTAACAAAAGGACAGCTAGTTATCCGATCATTGGATTGCCCCTCATTTACGACTTGATTGCTGGATTATAGTTGTCATTTCTTTCTGATTTTTGATTATTCTATGGTATAGCGCTCTATATTTTTTGACACACGATTGGCAGTGATTTTCAGGGGTACCAATATGAAAATTTCTATTGTAGTCAACCTTTAAGCTAGAGATACCCTAAAATTGTTTGTTTTTCAAATTATATTTTCTCATTACTTTTTGACACATTGCGTGAATTGTCCAATTAGAAGAAGGAGAGCTGATCATCTGATCATTGCATTGCACCCCATTCGCGTCTTATTTGTCGAATTAAAATTATCACTTGACATTTCTTTGTGCTTGTTGCATGGTACAGCGTTCTATATTTTTTGACAGACGACTGGCATGGGTACCAATCTGAAAATTCTCATTGCAGCCAATCATCGAGCTAGAAAACTCCCCAAATAGTTTATTTTTCAAATTACATCTTCTGATCACATGAATACAAATTTATAAATAGCGATAGCCGTCCAGATATATCAACAATGCATCAATTCATACACGCAGTAATGCCGCAGCTTCCTGTTTGATCAATTAAGACCGGCCACTTCCATTGGTGGAATGAATACACTCCTTTTATTAATTCCCCGAATTCTTTTGTTGTACAAACCATCCTAGGCTCGAGTGGCATTCAACGAGATTCTTATCTCTGATAGTACAGTGATCAAGTTAATCTAGGCAACGATAAACCGATAGGAACGTTTTGTTAGTGAAATAAAGGATCAAAGAAGACAGTTTTGTAAAGAGAAACGAACGAACAATCCGCAAGTGTCAAATTCGTAGAGGTTGAAGGTCACTTACACTTGTCAAAGAGGTAGGTGATTCGATGGTTGTTGATAAACGGTATTTCCTAAATTTGCGTGTTTCTGTAGTGCGAAACGGCGATTCGAACACATTTATTTATAGAGAACGCGGATCTGGCGCTATGTGCGGTGTTACAGCGACGTACTCATGATACCCGGCGCTGAAAACAAACTTTTCTGCGATAGATAAGACTGACTACATAATGCTAAAGACTTCTGTCCAGCACAAAATCCTGAATTATTTGCCTGACGATCGACCAGTTACTGCGATTCAGGTGAGGAACTTGAAGCAAACGTGTGGGTGGGAATGATTTGGGTCAGGTTAATGTATCCTTTTTGTTGGACTGTTATGTGACCCCAGCTCTTGAACTTTTGCAGCATTCTGTCGTATATTTAACTTATTTTTAGATAGATCATACTGGAATTGAAATCATGACAGGCATTTGTATCTTTTTACTCTTATTTTGAAGCACAATGTTTTCTGTATATTTTGATAGCCTTAGTCCCTTGGACATTCTCTAAACCTAAATCTGTAGATACTTTAAACTACAGTTTCTTTAGAATAGAATCTTAGAACTGATATGTAGTCACAAAATTAGTATCTTAACTGTCTCATCTTCTTCTATATTAAAAGACATGTTGCTTTTTTCCAAAACTAAATGAGTGTTGCCAAAAACATGTAAAGTAAAATCGTAATTTAAATTGATTAAAAAAACCATGCAATTTCATTTCTTGCAAACCTCAAGCTTATGCTCATCTTGGCTAAGTAACATGTTATAGCACTAGTAGGTCTCAGCATTAAACAAAAATCAGCTGTGACTCATCTATAATGACATACATTTGGTTTGAAGAATTTCTCATGTTATTTGATGTTTTATCTACAATTTTATGCAAACACTGTAATCTTTAATTTATCTGGAAGATTCTGTACTCATAATTATTTTGTTCTCAGCTTTTTACATAGTATTCATATTTTCTAGGTAATAGAAAATCTAGACAAGTGCCCCAAAGGCTTCTTTGCCATTAGCAAAACTTACGATCAAGACTCAGATGCTGATCTGAGAGAAAGTTCCATATTCAAAAGTAGCACCGCTCGGTATCTGTGCTTATCAAAAACTGAAGGTAAGGAATAATAAAACCTCTTGTATTGTTATTTTTGGCTCTTAAAATTCCTAGCATCTCAGGTACACATTTCGGAGTATGCTGCTTCTCTAGCATTAAAAATTCTTGACATTAGTATGTTTTTTAGTAATATTTCTTATTCAAAAATGTCTTAATTTCTGAAGCAAAACATAGATAATTCTTTATAATTCCAAATCGCCCGAGTTTTGTGATGTTATGAGTGCTTTGTACAGTTTTTCATAACAGTATCTGCATAGTTTGTAATGAAACTTTGATATCTAATTTATCTGTTGAGTTCCTCGTGAATTTCTCTGCAGGACTGCCAAATTTCGTGGTACAAGAACTGCTGGTGCTTACAGACAAAGCAAACCCTCCAAAAGGGTTCAGTTTGTTAAGTAGGACAGCTGATAGTGAGCAGAAGGCTTGGAGGAAAAAGCAACTGTGTTATAGATTAGTGAACAAGAAAGACATTAGGACTGCTATCACTGATATAATCATCTGCAGCCGACTGAAGAAAGCGCCGTCTGGATTTTCGTTTGCTGGGTGAGCTCTTAAGATATTTGTACTTGATTTAGTATATTCCGAATCCAGAGTCTATGTAGCCAGTATCAGAAGTACATAGGAGATAGTCGATATTTTGTTAGGTAATTGTAAAGTGAATCCTATAATAAACAGTGTGATAACAATATTGATAAATGTAATATCACCACTTATTTTATCAATTTATCAATACCTTTTAGGTGGCATTTCGGATATAAAAAAAGAAAAACCCATTTCATTCTGGTTTCCTAAATAAACTGGGTGCATAGGTCCACATTTTTTAACTTCAAATTTGTATTTCACGATTTTTGAATCGATCCCAAATTACCAAGTTCCATTTGTATTCAGGAGATAATCGAAATTTTACCCTCTAAAGTCCTTGTTTTGAAATACTTTTTAAAATAATTTTCAATGCAATTTGTACTGAAATGCAAACTGTTGAGAAGTTTAGAAATTGAAAGGATGAATAATAAATTAATGTTTCCTGGGAAAATGCCTTTCTAATTAATATTGGCTTTTTCACAATGAATAAGCACTCAGTGTCGGTAAAAACAATTAAGTTTTGCACGACATTGTATAACTTCCAAATGCACATACACCTTGTTTGGTAACAAAATATTTGCAAGTAACATGAAAAAGGAACATTGTATGTAAACAAACTTTTAATTCATGCAACGTGAATGCTCAACCTTGAGATGAAATGTAATTGTTACTGTTATTTTTTGATCAAGGTTTCAATCTACCGAGTATTCATTTCCTTTTATATGCAGCCGACCATTGTTAGGGCTTATAAATTAGATATGTATAACAAACATAACATGCTTTGTAGAGCTATGACAGTAAGTTTATTCAAATGATTTAATTGCTTTTAACATCTCATCAAGTTAATATAAAGAATGAATATTTTTTACATTATACGGATTTCATATACAGGGGTTTTCAGTATTCACAATCAAAGGGCAATGATAAGAATTTATCTTTTTCAGCACTAGTTCCAATGTCATGCTTTGTTATAGGGAACTAAACGGTGTAACAATCTGTTACAAAATGGGTAACGTCCAGGACACTCAAGCGAACGGTAACCAGCAACCAGTGCCTCCGGATAGGCCTCCAAAACCAGTCCCAACGTCGCCAGGCGGTGGAGTTTATCCCTCGCTTATGGGAGACTCAGATCACGATTACGAGGTACGATTAGGAACCGTATCGGTGCTTTATTGACGTTTCACTTGCCTCGGGTGGTAAATACGATCATCAAAGATTTTCACTGCCAACACAGCCTGCATGCAAAACGGGATTTATTTCTTTACAAACTTTTCAGATGAGAAAAATTCCTTCTTGTATTATTTGAAAAAAGTGTTATCCTAAATAACGTTTTTTTCCGCGGACAAAAAAGATTTTTAGACTCAAAATAAGTCGAGTGGATATGATTTACTTCTATGCAAAAGTTTGTGCGTTAGACGGCAATAGTTTTTCTAAAACACATTTTTTTCAGATATTTTTGGAACTATCCCAACTCTTTTTTGTTTAAAAGATCTTTTTATTTCATTTTTTGTCTCTTGTAAAAATTGGTCAAATTACATCAAGTGTTAAAATCTAGTAAATGTGGGACGTTATACATTTTCAGATTATTTTTGATTATTATCAATTTGTTGTGTGTTCTTCATAAATTTCTGACTAATTAACGTTTGAGACGAATTCCAAATCGTCACACTTTTGCAAGCATAGAACGCCGAAAATAGTCTGAAACTGACTTAACATCACACATTTTCATCAACTAGATTTTAACACTTTTCAGAAATCAGTTTTGAAAAACATTTTTTCTGGAATAGAAGGTAGACTAGAAGCATCTCTTGCGTTCTAATGAAATTTTTACACAATGCCGAAAAAGCTTTGTAATTCTTGAAAATTTATTGTTATGCTATCAACTATATTTTTATATTAACTCCAATTTTTTAAATAGCAAAAAACTCTAAAATTTAATATCAAACACCTCATTCTTTCGACCTTTTTGTTGGTATCTTAATTTTTATAATGATTTAATTCCATGATACTTGATTTCTCTGGACTTTCTATTGAAGCAAAACAGACTCCCCTTTACTTGAAAATTATTTTATTATTTTTAATGCGGTTTGCTATTAAATAGTTTATAACTTATTCCACGTCAACATTCCCCTGTCATACTTTTTGTCTTTTGTCAGATCTTGCGTCCAGGCGCGCCCGTATCCAACGCCAGGTGGCGGCGGCCTTTCTCCCGCCGCGCCCTCTAGGCCTGCGCCTAAGCCGCCCGCGAACGGCGGCAGTGTCACGCTCCACCACCAGATGTCGCAATCGTATCCGCACGCGATGGACGGCGTTCCATTCCAGGTGAATCCCCGATTTTTGCCGCAAGGCGGAAACGGCGGCAAAGGGGTGAGTATTCAAAAAGTTGATCAGCGATTTCATCATCTTACATTGTACCTTGTTTTCTACATCTTATTTATACAGGGTATCCCGCTTCGCTGAACGGGGTTCCTCAAAGATCTGTACTTGGACCGTTGTTAGACTTGTTCTACATCAATATCGCGATGTTGAAGAATTTTACAATACTATGGAATGTTTCCTACTATTTGAAGCTTTTTTCACGTCGAAGACTTCTTAACTCTATTTTTTTCAGTCTGGCATAATTTTTATTATAACTAGTCTTCTTTATAATTTTTTAACCAAATCTGTTTATTGTTCAACTAAATTTTAACATAGCTTTTACTAACTTTTTTACCTTTTATTGCAGCTTTGTTTTATGATCGTCGTAGTTACGTACTGTTTGTCGTTTTTTATGTTCTATTTTAGCGGGCTTGTGCAAAAACATTTCTGTGCAATAGCAGCAATAAATTATTATTATTATTATTATAAAAATAATATTCTTTCCAGGCTAATATCGAGAAACTAGTACCTTTTTGATCACAAAACGAAAATACAGAACTATTCTTTGTCTTGTAAAGATAATATTTTATTAAATTTTGCGAAAAAAGTAGTAGTTTTTCGGAATCCGGGGCAGTATAGTGTGTCTTTGTTTAAATTTGCAATAAAAAAAAACAAAGAGTAATATCTATACAACCGCTAAAGTGCAAAGATGAAAAGGTGGAGTGTTACCCTTGTTAACCTTAAAATTATATTGTAGTTGATTGTATATTTTCTTCAGTTCCAGTTTCCTAGGATCAAAGCCAGAACAATGCAGCAACTCCTCAAAGAGTACGATTACCAGTTTACGTTGGAACGACAAACTTAAAACGATCAAACGCACTGCCTATCAAAATATATAATTCGATACCTAATCATCACCGTTATTGACCTTAATATCGAACGAACTGAATTTTAGGAATGTTTTTTTTCTTCTTTGTATGTCTACGTATTTTTTTTAGCCGTTGTGTTAGCATCGTAAGTTTGTGTCATTTATCGTTAGGGATTCTCTCGTGGTGTACAGCAAAGCTCAGAAACAAATTTATAAATTCAGCATAACTATTAATTTAGGTCCATTGTTGAAATCTATTCGTGCAAAAAGTTGTTTTTTTATTGAAATAATCTAACGATTTGGATATCCCTAATTTCTGAAGGCCATGCATTGTGCCATAAGTTTCCGATAACTATTTTTTATGCTTCACCGCGAAATTCGAATGATGAAAATTACTCAGTAATCAAGGTAAGTTAGTTCTTTAAAATTTGATAACAATGAGGATGTTTCTCGGACTTCATTGTCTATTTTTGATTCTCTTTTTTCTTCCTTGACGTTTTATTTCCACATTAGGATTGCTGCATCCATTATCAAGGACGCTTCTTTGATTTTTCTCCGATGCCAGTACGTTTCTTTATGATCGCAAGGTATTCTTCTTCGATGCGGCTGATTTCTTCGTGGTTGCTAGATTAGAGAAATTTACGTTTTGTGCTGGTTTTCTTCATACCACAATTTTTATTCAGGAATTTCTCTTCTCGATGGTTGCAGATCACGAAAATATACGAATCTTCGACTTGACATCGAGGTTTTTAATCGCGATTGACTCAAGGCACGTCCTGTTTAAGTATGACCAATCGGCAGACCTTGGGTGTAAAAATCTTATTTTACTTGAAAGTTGTTTCACTACTATGACCAACTTATCTCGGACTGGCTCAATCGCCGTTAAAAACTTCGGTGTCAAGCGGAAGATTTCACTTTGTCATGTGGATGGATACGAAACCAGATTGGTATAAAAAATAGTCGAGAAAAAATGCACATCTTGAATCGAAAAACGTTAAAGACAATAGAGGTACGAGAAACAGATCACAACCTGGGTTTCTAGAATTGCTGTGCATCTAAAACCGCTTCATTACCATTAGTTAGTTATCATCACAATTATATCACGCTTAGTCTAGAAATCATATACTATATTTTTTTATATTTGCATGTAATGTAATTTATACCTTGGAAACTCTTGCTAGGGAAAGTTGTGATAAAAGCCATGTAGATTAATTCTAGTTTTTGGGTGATTGTTTTGCTATATGAACTAAAAAAAAATGATACACTTTTTTTTTTAAGAAAAATAATTCTTCGATTTTGAACGAGTTCTTTATACAGTGTTTCTAGTTAAAATCGGAATAAGCTTTTTGAAATAAAAGTGTTGGGAATTTTGATCGCCTGCAGCATAGGAAAATATAACTAGACGTATTATTAGGAAAATTGAGAGTTTCCAAGCATATATATAAATATATATAATCGTTTCCCAATTTCTTTTGTAGCCAAAATATTTGCAGCCTTCTTGTCAAAAGTTTGTGATGCTTCGGGCTTCGAAGATCGTACAAACAAAAAATGACGATTCTTGTAACATCACTGTGATGACTTGAAAAAAGTGATTTTGTTGAGGAAAGTTGATAATTCGAGAAAGTTATTGAGATAAACAAATGTCAATATCAATTTTCGCAGGATCTAAAGAAGAGGGAAGTCTCCCGTAATTTTGCTAAACTTTGATGTCAATAATGTTACGATTGAAAATAAACCTTCAACAAAAGTCTCTCTTAACACATGAAAAAATTAAAAAAAACTCCAAAGGGAAGTTGACCTTAATAACTTCTTTCTCTCACAAAAGGAAAAAAAACATTTTTTCTGAGCAGTTACAAGTTGTTATTCTTTGACGGAAAGTTGCTGTCAACTTTATGAATGCGCTCATTAACAAAAAGACAATTATTTGTACAGCTTCTCTGTAGCTTCTAGTAAAGCTTGACGTTGATTTGAGATTTGAATACGCAATTTTTTGGACGACGATCTGCAGGATAATAAAATTGCGCATTTTAAGCACTGATTTGATTTTTCTAGTAGGTGATGTGAATATTTATAGATGAAATATAAGTAAGCTGTTTTCTTATACATTGTTAGTGCCAAGTTTTAAAGTTGATAAGGTTTTGTAAATACATGAAATAATTTTGAATCTTGTGCCCTTTTATTTCTCCACCACACCTTTGAAGCCGGAACAAGAAAATATGTTTTAAAATTGTGTCTTGGAACAGCGAGAGACTTGCAGGTGAAACATCTTCCAATATCAACTTTTTTTACAATCGTCGTAACGTGTTAATAAAAGTGATTTTTAGTGCTCGCATAAGCTAGTTCTGCTACTATTTCACAGATGGCGCTAATCACAAGACTCACGAAATTTAACTAAGGAGGTAAGCTTGTCAGGTAGGTTTGGGTGGCGCAACTGAATATCGAGAAACTTAAATGATTGTGAGGCAAAAACAACGGAATTAGATTTCGAAGAACTAAAATACCTGATACTAAATGACATAGAAAACACAAAAAGTCGAATAAGGATTTTTTTTATATGCGAAAACCTGGAAAACTAATTTGGAGAATTAGATATTGGGATGGCGATTCTACCAAAAAAAGATAGATTTTCGAATCGGAAGAATTGATCCACAAAAAAATCGGTCCAAGTAAAGATAACATGGCCACGCAAGGCAACTGTTGAAATGTATTCTACTAGACTCTAGAAGACGATCCGAAATTTTTGCAGAAATCGTTGCACAACACTTAAAAGAATGAAAATTGGAAAATTGCCGCTTTGACGTTCTAAATGACTCCGTCGGTATCCCGGGATAGACATCCGACTTGACAGATAACGTCATTCTTGCCACCTGGATTGCGGTGTTGCCAGCTGGTTGGACGATTTTGCTATTTTGATAGAATGTCATATAGAAAAAGAAGTTTCGAATAAAATATTGAGGAATACCAATGGAGATATATAAAATTTGAGGCGTAGCAAAGTTAATGTCAGGTAGTACAGCCACGCCCCTACTCCGCGCGTCTGTTCCCGGTCAACGGTAATCAAAACATCGAGTCGCTTCGTGATACTGTCAGATAAGAAAACGCAGACGCGCGGAGTGGGAGCTGGAAAGGGGCGTGGCTGTACTACCCGGCCGCAGCGAGGTACAGCACTCGCACACTTCAGTCTCTCGGCAGCCGGCGGCGTAGCGGAATGTCCACGCGTTCACAGCTCCGTGAAGAGCTCTATTCAGTTTAGATACTTTTTTTTCACTATAGGGTTCTCGATTGCGTCTCGGTGGTGCTTTAATGCTGCGACTTGGGTGTCAAGTGTCTCCAAAGTGGAAATTAGGTCTACTTTCAACTCTTCTGAGGGAAACAGGATATCTGTGCAGCAAAATAGGTGAGCCTTGCATACTCATCACTTGTGTGTTAGGGCTATCATCCTATGGAAAGTTCGTTTTGAAAAAAAGTTAATTTAGCTTTGTCAAATATAAAATATACCAAGAATTGCAAGTGCATTTGTTATCACGTTGTGACTAAAAAATCATAAAATAAATTATAGCAGAAAAAAAAACTAAAAATGCAGGCTTCAATACCGAATCTATATAAAGTAGGAAAACATTTTGAAGTATAGGAGAGTTTCCGCTATTGCTGAAAAAAAAACTCCAACAATCAGGATCAATCTAAAAATTAAGATTCTATATAGAAAAAAGCTATACTTTATTGTAATGGTAAATAAAATGCAATTGAAATTTTGTGATACTTTTTAATTGCCATATCAGTTCTGTAATATCCAAACTTTTTTATATAAACTTGTGAAATATTCCTCTGAGAAAATTCAGAACAAATCATCTCTCACACCCTCAATGTGATATTGATACGTAAGGAACATGTATATGTCACAGATAAATTAAAGAAAACTATTAATATCAGAAAAATATATGGTGCCCCATTCAACAATTTATTATAAGTTCCTTGATTGTAAACAAAACTTGTCACTAAGCAGATCTACAATTAAAAAATTGTTAAATAGAACATCCTGTATATGTAGAGAATATGATCAGATTTTTCAAAATTTTGCACACAACTAACAAAATGTTGGTCTATTGCATCATTCCGGAATTTTATACAAAAGTTTGTCCAAATTCTAGCCTACTAACATGGATATCGAACGATTCACATAAATAATTACGAAAAAAACAGTTCCTTTTTAGTAAACAATGCATAGAAAATGTTGTGTTACCATCAGTTAATAAATCGTGTTTTATTTCTTTCCTAAGGCCTTCTTCACTTGCGCTGCTTTATCTTGGGCCGCTTGTTCCTTTTCTGGAAGAAAAATTTTCTATTTACTAAAAAACACCGAGCACAACAATTCCAATATAATATTTAAAAAAAAATCCGCACTCGACTTACGTTTTTGCTCCTCCTCCCTTCTTTTCTTAGCTTCTTCTCTCTGTTGCTTGATAATCGCCAACCTAGCTAAGTCTGCTCGAGCCTGCTCCGTTTTGCCCTCAGCGTGTAATTTCTGAAAGTGAACACAAAACATACCTCTATACTTTTCACGCCTTCATTCAAAGCGATACTAGATTAGGGATATCCCTTTAGGAAAGGTGCCAGAAAGCAAGGATTGGTTTGAAAGGGAGGCGGAAACAAGGAGGGAAACCGAGAACAAAAAAGTCGAAAAAATAAAGGTAAAATGTGAAAACAATATCGATTATTTTCGGGGCACTGTTCATCAGGAATTTGCCTACCCCAACTTTTAACCCCTACAAATTTTGTTAAATAAATGATCAGGACCCTGTACGAGAGGTAAACAACGAGATATCCTTTTGTGTACTGGATCTAAAGAAAATTTTAATCAAGCACAAATTACAAAGGTTTCAAAAGATGTGTAATTTATGCTTTTTTTCTGGTGGATATGAGATAAAAACTTGCCTGATAATGCGCCTGCGCCCTTTGTTTCTCTATTTCTTCGCGTTCTCGCCTAGATAATTGCGGTTTTCCTTCTAGATCGGTCGTATTCAGTTGAGTCACCTTTTTCGTTTTTTTCTGCACTCTATTTGGATTCTCTATTTCTATTAGATTCGATACTCCTTTTGCTTTGGCCTAAGAAAATACACAGAAAGACATTTTAAACATATCTTTAAGCATATTTGATTTTTTCTCTTTACCTCGACTCCGTCATCGCTGCTGTCCTCCTCGCTACTAGATTCGTCGCTACCCTTTTTGTCGCCGGCAGCCTCCTCTTCCGATTCCTCGCTACTGCTTTCACCTCGCTGCTGTCTCCATCTCTTCTTTTGCTCTTCCTTCCTTCTCTCTTCTTCGAGTTCTTCAGGGTTCGTGAAACGACGGTTGCGGCCTTTGTGGTTGGTGTACTTTCCTATGGAATTAATTGGATTTTGAATAAAAGTAAATGAAAATAAAAATAGTACACAGTACATTTCTTGTAAAAGAACAAAATACATGAAGAAAAACAGCATTATAAATAATTGCTAGTCTCTAACACTCATAAGCACTGCTGTACTTAGATAAAAGGTAAAATTTATTTATTACTAAAATTACAAAATATTTAGATCACATTATTTAGCAAAAATGTTAATTTTTGTTGTTTGTAGAATTTTTATTTAGCATTATAGCTACAATGTCAATTTTTTATGAATACCTGTTTACACATTTTTTTAATCAATTTTCATATTAAAATTTCATTGCTATGCATTTTGGGATTCATAATTGCACCTTAAACATTTTTAAATTATTTAATATTATTAAACTAAAACACTCCTTTTGAAATACAAATTGGCAATTGAGCATGTTGATTGCAAAATAGAAGATTTAAGATGAGATAGTTGTACCTAATTTTACAAATTTCATCATTTACCTCATATACAGTTCAATGATCCGATCAAACAGTTCAAATAAGCAATAATGCCAATAATATAAACACTGATAAAATAATAATAGTAAGGAAGCATATAAATATCATCGATTTAATCTGTATTATAAAATGTATATAAATCATAACTTTATACTTATAAATACCGACGTGGATGCTACATATTCTGCATTTAAATCTCATTATGGATACTTTTGGATGATATTCAGATGACAATTAAGGTATCCGGCAATTAGAGATACTTGATAAACATACGTGTCCACATTTCGTATGTTCAAATTTTGCTAGGATGCCCATGTTATGATGCAATAAAAAAGATAATGCCATGGTCAAATTTTTGTCGAAATTCACTACACAAAAATAACCTATGTACTAACGGATTCTCTACATCTCATAATTCGAACAATTTTGAAACGTTTTGTCCAATTTGAGGCGTAGTTTGTTGGGGCCCCAAACCGTCCCACGAGACAAGTCTTTGTTTTAAAATTGTGAACAAATCTATTCCAACGCGACATTTACAATTATCTAGACACTTACCTCGTGGCATTTTCGTAGATTATTTGAAGTGCTATCTGGAAACTACAATTTTTTTAGGAAAAACACTCCAAAAAATGAATTTCCGCACCCGTTTTGATAGTTGACAAATGACGTTCCAAGACAATTGACAGGTAGGCAGCTCCTGCCATCTACTGCGGAAGAACTTAAGCGTAGCAATCTGGACACACTGTAGCAAACTGTATACGTAAATCTCAAGCTTAAGACATATTTCCATAGATGGCACCTAAAAGATGCTATGTTGCCATACTTCTCATTTTTTCTTCAAGTTTGAGATTTTGGGAAGGTGCAACGTTGCCGTACCTCCTATTATTTCTTCAAGTTAGGGATGTAACGCAAATGCAATGTTGCCGTACCTCTCATTTTTTCTTTAGGCTGGAGATTTGGAACGCAACGTTACCGTACCTATTGTTTCCTCAAGTCAGGGATTTGGCAGATGCAATGTTGCCGTACCTGTCATTTTTTCTCTAAGCTGGGAGTTTGAAACAGATACGACGTTGCCGTACCTCTTATTTTTTCTTTAGGTTGAAGATTTGGAACGCTACGTTGCAGTATCTCATTTCTTCTAATTTTCTTTCTAAGCTTAAGATTTGGAATGCAATATTGCCGTACCTCTTATTTCTTCTTCAAGTTGGGGATTTAGAGCAAACGTTGCCGTCCCTCTCATTTTAGTTCGGGATTTGGAATGGATGCAGTGTTGCCGTAGCTCTGATTTTTACTTTAAATTGGAGATTTGTAACGCAATGTTGCTGTATCTCATTTTTTCTTCAAGATGCATTGTCGCCATGCCTCTTGGTGTTTCTTGAAGCTGGGGATTTGGAACATGCAATGTTTCCGTACCTCTCATTTTTCCTTCAAGTTGGAGATTTTTTAAATATATGGCATAAGCACTATCTAGAGAATAACATTGAACAGCTCTTGTATTATATAACAGATGCAATGTTGCCGTACCTGTCATTTTTTCTCTAAGCTGGGAGTTTGAAACAGATACGACGTTGCCGTACCTCTCATTTTTTCTTTAGGTTGAAGATTAGGAACGCTACGTTGCAGTACCTCATTTCTTCTTATTTTCTTTCTAAGCTTAAGATTTGGAATGCAATATTGCCGTATTTCGTATTTCTTCTTCAAGTTGGGGATTTAGAGCAGACATTGCCGTCCCTCTCATTTTAGTTCGGGATTTGGAATGGATGCAGTGTTGCCGTAGCTCTGATTTTTACTTTAAACTGGAGATTTGTAACGCAATGTTGCTGTATCTCATTTTTTCTTCAAGATGCATTGTCGCCATGCCTCTTGGTGTTTCTTGAAGCTGGGGATTTGGAACATGCAATGTTTCCGTACCTCTCATTTTTCCTTCAAGTTGGAGATTTTTTAAATATATGGCATAATCACTATCTAGAGAATGACATTGAACAGCTCTTGTATTATATAACAGATGCAATGTTGCCGTACCTGTCATTTTTTCTCTAAGCTGGGAGTTTGAAACAGATACGACGTTGCCGTACCTCTCATTTTTTCTTTAGGTTGAAGATTTGGAACGCAACGTTGCAGTACCTCATTTCTTCTTATTTCCTTTCTAAGCTTAAGATTTGGAATGCAATATTGCCATACCTCTTATTTCTTCTTCAAGTTGGGGATTTAGAGCAAACGTTGCCGTCCCTCTCATTTTAGTTTGGGATTTGGAATGGATGCAGTGTTGCCGTAGCTCTGATATTTACTTTAAAATGGAGATTTGTAACGCAATGTTGCTGTATCTCATTTTTTCTTCAAGATGTATTGTCGCCATGCCTCTTGGTGTTTCTTGAAGCTGAGGATTTGGAACATGCAATGTTTCCGTACCTCCCATTTTTCCTTAAAGTTGGAGATTTTTTAAATATATGGCATAAGCACTATCTAGAGAATAACATTGAACAGCTCTTGTATTATGTAACAGATGCAATGTTGCCGTACCTGTCATTTTTTCTCTAAGCTGGGAGTTTGAAAGAGATACGACGTTGCCGTACCTCTCATTTTTTCTTTAGGTTGAAGATTCGGAACGCAACGGTGCAGTGCCTCATTTCTTCTTATTTTCTTTCTAAGCTTAAGATTTGGAATGCAATATTGCCGTATTTCTTCTTCAAGTTGGGGATTTAGAGCAAACGTTGCCGTCCCTCTCATTTTAGTTCGGGATTTGGAATGGATGCAGTGTTGCCGTACCTCTGATTTTTACTTTAAACTGGAGATTTGTAACGCAATTTTGATGTATCTCATTTTTTCTTCAAGATGCATTGTCGCCATGCCTCTTGGTATTTCTTGAAGCTGAGGGTTTGGAACATGCAATGTTGCCGTACCTGTCATTTTTTCTCTAAGCTGGGAGTTTGAAACAGATACGACGTTGCCGTACCTCTTATTTTTTCTTTAGGTTGAAGATTAGGAACGCTACGTTGCAGTATCTCATTTCTTCTAATTTTCTTTCTAAGCTTAAGATTTGGAATGCAATATTGCCGTACCTCTTATTTCTTCTTCAAGTTGGGGATTTAGAGCAAACGTTGCCGTCCCTCTCATTTTAGTTCGGGATTTGGAATGGATGCAGTGTTGCCGTAGCTCTGATTTTTACTTTAAATTGGAGATTTGTAACGCAATGTTGCTGTATCTCATTTTTTCTTCAAGATGCATTGTCGCCATGCCTCTTGGTGTTTCTTGAAGCTGGGGATTTGGAACATGCAATGTTTCCGTACCTCCCATTTTTCCTTCAGGTTGGAGATTTTTTAACTATGTGGCATAGGGAATGATATTGAACAGCTCTTGTATTATATAACTTTATTTCCACATTTTTGTTTTACATATATTCAATAATAAATTTTCTGATAAAGTACAAAAAGCTGTACATAAGTACTATCACACATGATCTTATCTATATGAGAAATCTTATCAAATGTTAAATTTAATATACACAACCTAGTACATAATAGAAATAATAATAACTATACAAAAAAACTGTCAATACCGCTTTCAAAATACTGATTAGGAAATAATTTTGATTATCATTATGACAGATATATATCACAAACTATGAGCAGTTTCTATGCACTATACAGTCACCCAATAAGAAAAATTGAACGTGTAGTTATTGTGGTCAAATGAGATTACATCTCCAGGAGAATAACCTAAATTAGTAAATAGATCTTATATCTGGATAGAGGATAGTCACTAAGATTTATTTCGTTGTCCTCCTGAGACAGAGCCTAGACCATGCTGATGAGTTACCAAATAGCACAAAACAGCTGGTCATGGTTGGGCTATATTACTATCATCATCATAAGAATGAGTGAGATTACTGCCAAAAGATGGAACTGTATTTTTGGGTGACTGTATACTTGAACAAAAAAAACGCACGTTTTTGGTTTCTAGCTCAAATAAAAACCGTTACTACTGCAATAGTCTCTGTGGTAAAAGATTAAACAGTTTTTATATGGCAAGCATGTCTAGATTGGACTGAAAAAATGGTATTTTTTGGTGTGGATATTTTCACAACGAATTAACTTTGATTTTTTTGTATTGGTGTTAGTTTGAAATTTTTTTCGATGAAAAAACTACTGCAGGACATATGCGATATTTTGCATTTCGTGGATATTTTTATTTCAGTCCAATCTAATAACCAAAATACACTGAAAATACAAAATAAACATATTCATTGACACACGCAAACGTATCCAATACCCCAAAAAAAAAAAAAAAAAAAAAACAAAAATGATATTTTTTGATCATACTCTTCACAAGATATATCCATTTGAAACTACATACCATCATTACACATAAAGAATTTTTAGCATCAGGACCAAAACGCACTAATTCGGATCACAATACACGATTTAATTTACGATTTATCTTCGGAAAATAAAAAATTGGTCGGAATCTTGATTTGTTTTTCATATTCTTTGGAAAATATTGGTCGTGCTGGCATACCGGTTCATTTGGAAGAAAATTTTAAATCATCCGGAATAAATTTCAAATTGTTAAGTGACGTATACAGTCAAAATATTGCGTAAAAATCATGTTCAACATGTTTTCACCAATTTTTGACATTACCTATTTGCAACACAAAATGGAGCAATAAAATGTACGATTTGAACCGACATGTCAGAGAAAATCTCCTATCATTCAACCTGTGGTTTGGTCCTATATGCCCAGGTACTTATAAAAAAATCACCCTAATATCACTTGTATACTTAACAGGGACGTTTTGTATTGCCTAAAAAACATTTAAAGCTATCGTCAAAACTCAAAAAATAAATTAGACTCCATAAAAAAACATTCTCGATTGGCAACAAATCTGAAAGAATTTGAAATCTTCAGACAAATCGAAAAAAATATCGGAGAAGCCAAAAATTGCATCCATTATTCTATAAATTTTGACGATATCTTTTCGGCCGGAGTACGTCCCTGGTATTTATAGATTGCCAAACAACTGGACCTTTGATAATAGATTCGGCTTCGAAGTAATCTCAACACGCTGTGGAGAAGAGAAGATAGTCTCACACGGTATTTTCGAACAGAACTCAAGCAAACTGTTTTAGACATTTGAATGCCTATTCTGGTTTCTGTTCTCCTTAGAAAATAGCAGGTCCAACGCCATCTTGGATACAGCGTACTGAGCTTACGCCGATAGAACTAACATTTAAAAAAAATATTTCGTTGTGATAGTCACAATGAAATCATTCAGTCAAGTTTTTCGTGTAATATTCAACATTTAAGTCTTCAAAAAGTGAAGGTGTGTCTATACGTGGCGATATGTTGCGGCAACAAATCTCACGCGACTTTCCGTTTCCGTCAGCTGTATTCCGTTATTAATACTGTGCAATATCTTCGGCACGATTTGATTGCTAGAATATTCGTTCACATTAATCGGGAGTTGTTTGTCGCAAGATCGCAATGGCTTGCTATGAATCGCCACGTGTAAACGTACCTTAATACTTCGTCCGCAAATCTCCAATGTGTCAAGCGATGTGACGTAAATATGTTTGCAAGACGAAGTTTGTGTTGCTACAATCATTTGTTTTTAACGTAAAAAAAGGTATGCTCAGATAAGATGTCAGATGACTCGTACATATACATCACAAAAACGGTGTCACTCTTTGTCTGTGGCTTTGGTTGGGTGAGATATTTCGTACAGTTTGAGACGTAGAGGTTTGAACTTGTGTAATGTAAATGTCACTGTGTATTTGCAATGCAATTTAAGCACTACTTTACCGATTTTAATTGCAGTCAATTTATCCACCGAGCAAATGTGGAAAATCCCTGATCTTTGAATAAGTGCATTCATTTATTTCAAGTCCGAGCTTTGATCTTTTAAACGATGTTAATTACAAGTCGTTCTCTCTATAGCCAAACTTGATTGTAATATCCTCATATTATATATTTTACACATACTTGAAAATCTAAGCAAATCAGTTGCAGATCACGCGTTTCTAATTATACTAAACTGAGTCCAATGATAGTTTGAAACAACAACCCTTTTGGTTGACAGATACGACTGACAAATTTGATGGAACACAAAAAAATATGCAATAAATAATAAAAGACACAGATTGTACGATGGATTTTCTGTAAAAGGTGGAAATTTGGAAGGCAATGTTGCAGAACCTTTCATTTTTTCCTGAGACTGGAGATTTTGAACATGCAACGTTGCCGCATCTCTCATTTTTTCTTAAGTTCGGGATTAGGAAGATGCAGTGTTGCCGCACTTGGAGTTTTTTCTTTAAGCTGGAGATTTGGAACGCAACGTTGCCGTACCTCTGATTTTTTCTCTAAGTTTGGGATTTGAAACAGATGCGATGTTGCGATACTTCTCATTTTTCCTTAAGCTTCGGGATTTGATATACATAGTAGTAAACGATTTTGTGATTTGAAATTTGAGCATACCTTGATTTCGTCTGTCAAAAACAAATGAAATCTCGCAAGTTTTTTTTTTTAATAAACACTGAACGACCTTCAGAGCTGAGGACAGGTAATGAGGGGCAATTAGTTCTAAGAACTGCTACATTATTCGTGGGTTGCGGTGCGCTATCAATTGTTTTTCCTACTATATCTAACTATCACGTTTATGCCTATATCATATTATTATTAGTTACTAAGCCATCGCAAAATACGGAAAAATGAGATTCTTGAAAAATGGCCTCCTAACTATATAAGCAAATACGGCGAAACTGGTCCTCGAGAGATTCAGAAATAGTTTGATATGATTCAATGACAGTTCACGTACAGTGTTGTCAGATTTACGAATTTGTCACAAGAATTGGTCATCTTTGAGATTTTTTTTAACTTCAAATATTCTATTTAATTGGTTTCACCATGTCAGAAAAGTTTCCAAGTTTTCAATATTTTGCGACAGTTTTAAGTAATCGGTGAACTGGTGGTTAGTACGTACGAAATAATACAAACATGAAAATGTCCAGTAAAATATGTTTCCAATCTTTTTTTTCATATATTTTTTGTTGTTGTCAGTCTTGTAAATACGTTACCAGTATTCCCTCTTAGCGTTTTACTCCTCTCTGTACGATCGGTACAGTTTCTTTTTGCTCAACGTGTAAGCGGGGCTTACGATTATTGTACCGCCTCGAGTCAGGTTTCTGGAACAATATAAATAATATTCGCATAGATTATAAACATCTTCTTGCAACAACGGGAGAGCTGGGTGCCATCCGAGTTATGAACTAATCTAGGTAAGTCAAAGGTATAAATCAAGAACAAAAGAGGACCCAGAATGGAACCCTGAGGCACTCCGGAATGCATGCGGGTGACATGAAATGTTATACCATTCAATGCCACACATTGAGTCCTGTTTTTAAGATCGTTTATGATCCATCTTATCGACTGATATACTTTTTTTTGTCAAGAGCACGAAAGATGTCGCATAGGCTAAAGCCAATGTATTGATTGATTATGAAGTTGAATGATGCGAGTTGAAGTTGGAAAATCTTTTCAGGAGTTAAACATACATTATATAACGTATTGCCAGCCTGTTTGGTGGGCATACTGTGCATGGGATCTAGGTTTGGTTGTTAAACGAATCGCTCAATAACCTTGTCCACTTTAAATTGCGGGACATCACTTCTACCTGGTCCAATTCTTAGCGAAAGATATGTAAACAGGTAGATGCGGAGCGTCCCTTGATAATTCGACGACTGGGAAACTTTCAAGTGGGCCACAAGCGAACGAGGTGTAGCAGAAACGGGAGGCGAAGTTGTAAAGTGATAGTGTTTGCGGGCAAATTGAGTTTCCGCAATGTAAATACTCTCTGGTGCCGAAACAGACGACAGAGAGGAAATCGAAAACTGAGAAGCAGGAGTTGAGAAGAACGTGTATAACTTTGTGGATTATCAGCATAGGGTTAGAAAATATCATGATATTTATATAAATATCATATCACATGATACACAGTAAAATGATTTAGTTTGCACAGTTTGTGAAAAAACAAGCACAAAAAATAGAAATTAACAGATACACACAAAAATGTCTAGAGAAAGGGCTAACAAAAATTAAAGATGTGGACGTATAGCACTTCTTAATTCCTGAAATCGACAACCTAAAATATCACAAAAACTTGCAATCATATTCCTTCTTGCAGAAAAAGGAAACTTTATAATTGGATGTCATTCCAGGTACCATGAAATCAATTTGGTATAGTAAAACAGGACAGCCGATGGAACTCGTACCCCAAAAGCGGTTTTATTTCCGACTTACCTGATAACTTGTGGCAAAAACTGCCACCCGGCCCCCGTTTGCTGCCTGAGCGTCAAGAAGAGCTCGTGCGTCGCCGCCGTCGCCGGGTCCCACTGCACGCACGCGATGCAAGCGCCCTCTGCGACGTTGCCGACTGCGCCGTTCGTGTTCGCCTCGAAGCTGACGTACAACCGGCAACCGCGCACGCCGCACGGCTCGCACTCGGCCATCGACAGCACGTCACGCGCTATGCGGCGCAGCAGACCGCACGGCAGCAGCACCTGCGATTCGACAAAGTTGAAGCGGCGTTGCCAAACATCGTTTATTGTGTGGGATTTGACAAATTTTTGGGGATGGTGGTGATTAGGGTGATGTGCTTTCTAGTTCGTTCCGGTGAGCTAGTTCAGTAGGCCGCGCTCACTGAAACGAAATAGTGATTTTTGCAGCTGGTTTTAAATGTTAATATCATTCGTATCTTTTGATTCTTGTTAAGGGCCATCCAATAAATGCGAGGTAGAATTACGAGTAACCAAAGTACCTCTCCGCAAGCCAGATGCGTCCGTTTCGCCCTTCGCAACTCGGTTTCCAAACGTTGCGCCAGCGTATTCACGATGACAGCTGATTGACAGTCGACCTCTTCGTTTCCCGGTGTTGCCGCACCTCCTTCACCTGTCAAACCGGTCACGCTGCCGCCGCAGGTGTTCGCGTTGTTGCTCACGTCATTCTGGTTCCAATCTAAAGTAGAACAAAACAGATCATTTTCATCAGAGATATTTTCTGATAAATCCAGGCGAAAAATTGTCCATCTCCACAAGTAACTTGAATTTCGTGGCCTCCTTATTGCTTTGTACAATCCAGACAAAAGTCCTATAGAGTCGATCGACTAGACTTCGTTTTTTGAACGTAAGATCGTTTATATATTCGTGACCGATTAAAGTAAGAGTCCAAGTTCTCCATTAGTAAGATCGCAGGAAAATGCATGTGAATCGATTCCGTTCATTCGTCAGCCAGATAACAGTTTAAAATGCAAATCGAGGCTTACGCGGAGCGAGTCGGAGTTGGGGCACAGGAACTCACTCGGAGTTATGTCGACCATTACGGGATAGACTTCAGGCAGGAATGCTAAGTGCCCTTATACCGCTGGCGTATTATCGGAAAGCGTTCTCGTTAATGCCCTGCCACTTCAACATCGCAATCTAGGACGCACGACGCGGTATAAACCACAATTGCAGCCACGTCGTTTTGTGAATGAACATTTGAAAACGTGCAGAAAATTGGCGGCGTCAAGTAGATTGGTTCTATATTTTCTACGGCTTTATTAGAGGTTTCGAAGAACAACAATTTACATTTGACGCCATTTTCCGGCTGCCACCATTTTGGATTTAAAATGAAATCACTTCGATTATTGTGTTTCTCTCATCAAGCCCTTTCATTAGATACCCGTATCACGAGGGATTTATAATGACGTCACTATGCTTATTATGTTTCTCACATCAAGTCCTTTCATTTGATATACAGGGTGACTTTGAAGTTGAGTCATTAATTTTCAGATAATGATTGTAGAAAGAAGATAAACCAAAATATGTGTGTATAAATAAAAAAAAATAAAAGAAAATGTTTACCTTGTTTTATAAAGTATCCTCCGGACAAGTATTAGTGCGGACCTGTATTTGATCGTGAGGTCCCCTGTGAGGTCTTAAGTCACCTGATTCACGAGCCCGTTGTACTACATTAACAAAGGCACGAGGGGTTGGTTGCACTCGATTGGGAAACCGATCCGCATAAACATGTGCCATTTTTTATTTCGTTTGAGCCACGCAACAGACACCACTATTCACACGCGTTACCGACTGACACTGACTGTATGCATAAAATAATTGTAAAAACATCGTTCCAAATTCTTTCGCTTTTTTGTTTCCGATGCGATGAACCGATAAGGCGGATTATATCCGTTGTTGCCAAACACGAGCACATGATATTATTATTGAGACAGGGCGGTACTCAAACTTCCAAAGGGCTATAACTTTGTTACTTTAATTTTACCATAAAAATGGTAAAGGAAAAAAACATTTCTTTGATCAGATCTACTCACTGTTAAAATAAATGACTCAACTTCGAAGTCACCCTGTACATATCATCAGGGTGATTATGAATAATGCAAATCGCCATTTTATGGCATATGACGTCACGTTGCATATTGTGTTTCTCTCATCAAGCCCTTTTATTTGATACCAATAACATGGGACTATAAAAATTCCAAATCGCTATGTTGCAACGGCCGCCATTTTGAATTTAGAATGACGTTATTTTATCCGCCATATTGGATTCAAAATGGCGACGGTTGTTCCGTTTTGTATAGTCACAATCAATTGGTTCATAATGCGGTGACCAGATTTGTCCCACACATGCAAACAAACAGCTCAACCTAAAAGTTTATAAAAATGCGATAATCTGTATATAGATCTAGGAAAATATTTCTACGTCAAATACATCACTGCCTTGTCTCACTCACTCTGTGGTTCGTCGTGCCTGGTATTTTTAGCTCCTGTATAAATATTAGTACCAGAAGAACTCTATATATCCGAGATTTATTATCATAAGTTTCAGCAATGCCCGCTGAAATATCTTTCTCACGATTCGTTCGGCTTTTTATATTATAAATATTTGAGTTGATCCAGGTACAGCGCCAACTATTTATTATCCGAAGTTGAGACGAACATAATACAACAATGTGAGAAGAATTACCGATGATGAAAATTTACGCTTTCCTCATTACGGAAGAATAATAGAAGTCAGTTTGAAGACATCTTTATTATTGTAATTTAAGAGGCAAATGCAGGGCCATTCCTTGGGGCCTTTTTATTTTAAGAACGCCAGGCGAGAAGGATAAATGGATAAATGTGTAATTTATATTAGTCCAGAGACAGTTTTTGCTTCCCACGATTTCATATAGTATATACAGGGTGTCCCAGATAGATAGAACACTGCATTTTGATCAATTTTTGGATTCTACGTGAGATGACGTCAACTCGTTGCTGTACTACGTGGGACACCCTGTATATAATATAGTGCCCTAAAAGACCTATTTCTATTATCAATTCCTCATCATGAAATAACATTCTTTACCTTTCTGCAAGTTTTTTTCTATAAGCAATCTTCAAGACGATTCAACACATTGGTTTTTAAATAGCTGTAGGTCAAGTTTTTTCCGTAGTACTTATCAGAAAATATAGGGAAAGTTTTGTATATGAGCTGTATTTGCAAATAAATAGACACAAAACCTGCAAGCTTTGTCGGACTAAGTTTTATTTAACAAAGAACAGGGACAAAGAAAATGGAAAAAATGAATTAAGAAGTCGCACGCTCATCACAGAAACTTTATTACAACAACAATTTACCTGTCTACTAAACACATAACCAAGAACTTGAAGCCACCTGTAGCGAAAATTCAAAAAAAGCCTAGTCGAAGCTTTATTAACATTCTTTTTTCTATCGCACAGAGAACAAAGGAACTTACTTGTAGGCACCTGAGGCAAGGGGGTATCATTCGCAGCGGACAGCACGGACTCAATGATATCGGATGACATCGTTTTGGGGTAGTGATGATGCCTGAGGTCCTCCCTGCTGATGGGCAGAACCCCCGAGAGCTTGCTGAAGACGGCTTGCAGCCGCGAAGAGTCCTTGGCCTCCATCAGGACATAGATCAGCCCCTCACGGGAGACAAAGGAGCCCTCAGCTTCGGGGGCGAACGGCACGGACCGGCACTAGACGCGAAGTGAGCCGGTGTACAGCGAACAGCTGATCGACCGGTAGTTGCGAGACAGCGTTGCCGCGTCGACGACGGGCTGTTTCTAGGCGGACGGGACGCGGGCTACGTGACACGTACAGGGCGGATCGGAAATACCGTGGCGTACGACCCAACTAGCATTTCGTTTAAAATTAGACCGTTGACCAAGAGGTTAGATTGTTTGGTCCAAAACAACAAAAAACACACTTCTAAAAGTACTTGAAGAATGTTTGACCTTCAAGGCAAATCCAGAGGTTATAACTTACCCAATGTCAACCTAAGATATGCCCTGAATGTTAGGCTCTTTTTAGGGCATATTGGTTAGTAAAAATCATCTTATTTGCAACGTAGATTGGTAAAAAACAAGTCTATTAAAAGTACTTGAGGAATGCTTGACCTTCACAACAAATCCAGAGGTTATAACTTACCCAATGTCAACCTAAGATATGCCCTCAGTGTTAGGCTCTTTTTTGGGCATATTGGTTAGTAAAAATCATCTTATTTGCAACGTAAATTGGTAAAAAACAAGTCTATTAAATAACCGCCAAGGTTACATTGCTTCTAGTGAATGAAGGGTACCGGGGAATAACGACAATAGTCCATCCGGACTGATTTTGAGAGAATCGTTAATTAAGGTTTACTTACTTGTTGGAAAGTAAAATTTATGAAAAAATAAGTCGTAAAGAATATCCTTGCTTTTACAAAATGAGCTTTTACTCAAAACTAGTAACGTAACAAACAAACGATGATGTTCAACTCTGGACTCGTGCCACTTTTACCCTGCATTAAGCGTCATCGCTGCTGTCTTCTGGATGATCAGGAGATATTAACTGTTGATGCCCTGGAATCTGCTCTCTCTAGAAATTTCGTCAGATCCTGCAGATCCTTCCATTTCTTACTTTTAATTGAGATTGAGCACTGGTAAAGTTTTCTCAATGTTTCCTCTTCTAGTTTTTGTTGATATTTTTGCGTCTTCTTTAGATTATTCCGAATTATCTTGTGATATTTAGAACTAGCATATATGCCGATAAAAAAGTACTCCAATCTTGAAAATCAACTTTTGTGCCACAATCAATGACTTCAAATGGTGTAGGTTTCACACGGCGATTTTTCAATTTATCTCTCCAGTCATCCGGTACCTCAGTGTATGCTCTTTGGTTCACGAGACTCATATCTCTACCACACTCGAGGTGTGAATGCCCCCTGATCCGGAATATTACTTTCACAGTAGTAAAACGATTTTTCTTGGTAACCAAGTAATGCAAAAACCGAATAACTGTTAAGTTCTTATTTTGCCTTGCACAGGAGTCACAGAAAATGGCAAGATCTTTTACTTCCATAGGTAGGATGTTATAAAAAAGTTATACAGCATGGAGACACCTTGTATAAGTTTTACCAAGTACATGTATTTTGATTACTCTCACAATACTGTAAAGATAACAATGCGATTTATACTCTCCATTTCACTATCACGATATAGTTAACGTCAGCTCTTTTTATTGTATGCTGTCAATCACGAACTGATACTGATGATACATTGTCCACGATTATACCTTTACATCTAATCAACAAGAGTAAGTAATAATAATTATATACTGCACGTTCCTGGTACACGCTATGTATAAGTATACAATAATATATCTAATGAGTCGCTAAATTTTCCAACAATTTTCTAATTACGCTCTCCTTAATAAGGCAGCTATTTGCCGATGTTTTTTTTCGATATAATTATAATGAATACATGTGTGCTCCTATAATTTAGGATGATGTAATCTGAGGTTAGCAACTTTGTAATTTAAATTGAATCGGCCAGCTGATGCTTTTAAAACCTCTATTAAGGATACAGGGACAAGCAGTCAAAGCCTGACTATTTTTCACTTTGTTAAAGAAGTTGAAGGCAGTTATATCGATCATTCCCATAAATCGGACAAAATCAGGAAAATAGCTTTTGTCACGCAAAAAGAATATCAATATGGATCATGGGAATCAAGGAGCACTCGTATCGACCAGTTAATGTATAATTTTGGCGCTGAAATGAAATTCTTCTAGAATGTTATTGCAGAGAGCAGGAACAGTGGTTGACGTCTGCAACTTTTCTTCCTAAGCAATTAAAAACTACGTATATCTCTTAAATAGATATATTCTGTATAAAACTTTGATTGACCATTGACAATTTTCACTGGTGATCCGGATTTGTTACCTATTTATGTTTTTTGGAGATTATTTCTTTAATTATCCTTCCTTGCAGAATGCATTAAAAATTAATCCGTGAAGAGTCCTCCGAGGGCTCACCTCTTCAGCCGACTAATGAGGCAACAACTCGAAAAAAAAGTACTCGAAAGCGGCCGTCGGCTGTTGTTGTATCGATTTTCCGTGCAATTCCAGCGCAAACGGAATTTTTCCAGTTGCAATCCGGATTTTCCTTTGTTCCGGAGCCGTTTTCCCTGAATCCGAGACCGCGTCGCGGATCCGGCAACGCCGCATCTAACCGGCTTTCGGTCAGCCAATGGGGAGCGACGCCGGTCTTTATGAATCCTCGGCCTGGCAACAGCCGTGTCAAAATCAGCTGGAACGATCGATTAGCGGTACGCAGTGGCGTAGCGTTAGCGGGAAAAATTACAGGCGGAGAAATTCAAATCCAAGATAGAGCAAATAAGAATAAAAGTATGTGGATTCTTTTTAATGAACTATCTAACATTGTATTTTGGAATAATTGTATTCACAATGTGTGGCGGTTAAAATTCAGTCTAGAGAAAATGATCTTCGATGAATCTATAATCATAATTACAGTAGCATTTATTCATCTCTTCTACCTGATAGTAGAAGATTAATAACATGTTAGATTTTTGAGTGAATGCTTATTTTTTCCTATACAGGGTGTCATTTATTTTAACTGCTAAGGAGTTGATATACTAAAAACCACCTACATAAAAGTTGCATAATAAAAGAAACAGTAAAAGATTTGAAATTTAAAAAAGTAAGCTTGTTATTACCCAGATTTGTTGATATTCTCGGCCACTGCCGTGTAAAGTCTTAGCGTTTTTCGTTTACTGTTATCGTTTATTTAAATTTGGCAAACTTTTTTTGTTATTGTAAGGTTTTCAGTACGAGTCTTTGGTTCGATCAGTTATAACAGTCTTTTAATAGTGCGTATAAATTGGTAAGATAAAGGGCACCCGTAAAAAGTGTAATTCATAACTTCGAGAAAATGAGTATTATATATGTAAAACCTGATAAATATCCCTAAAGCTATTAGCTTTTCTTGTCTTCGCCAATGATTACACGATTTTATTTAGTAATAACAGAAAATCATCATTTCCGACTCCCAGTTTTTGTCTAACCATTGACGTATACGCTACGTCATACACCAGCGAAAGTCGAGATTCCCAAATGCCGAAGTAGAGTTCTTGCATAGGAAGTCTGTTCTTCGGCCCTTAGTACTTATTCCCGCTATTTTGATAATAAAATCTATTTTCATATATCTGCATTGGATCTTATTGATTACCTCTCGAAAATAACATTTTGATACGCCTATGTCACCGACTATCACGGACATACGTCGGCATAGCGCTATCTCTCACAGTTGCCGGGTTACCCTATTTCCAATAATTGCTCATTTTTCCTACAAAACCGCTCACTACCGAAATATTTGCATACATTTCGATGGATAATGGTCAAGTTCAGCTGTTACAGCTAGTTTTCCGCGGAAATTTTCTATACTTCGAGCGCATTCCGAGGATCTGGAAAATGTATACAAAGAAAGACCAAACCGGTGTTCGAAAAGGTTAAACGCGCTACGTACGTCTGAAAGCGAACAGCTGGGTTTTCGTATTTCCTGTGCACTGCTTTCTATTTTGAATTATTAGGGTTTCTCTGTACGACTTAACGCTTTGCATATTGCATATTAATACTTCTAACGAGATTATATCTATGGCTTATGTGACCCAAGTTCAAACATTACGTTTCAAGAAAAGAAAGTAAAATAAATCAGTTGGAGGTGTAGTTTTATATTGTAGGAAGGTTCTGTATTGGTTATGTAGCAACTTTTTCAGCAGGAGTTTCGGGACGTAGACGTAGAAAACAATTCGTTTTTTTAATATACATATATTTTATTCCCATAAAATTCCTAGAAAATAATAATTTATTGTTTATCCAATATCAAACTGCAGCAATATGACTAAATATGTAGAAATGGCTGCCAACATCTGGAAGAATATAAATATGGTAATCACCATAAATATCGAACAAGTAAACACATTTATATTAATAGACAGTAATGCAATTAAAATTAAATAGTCAAAACAAATTAGTTTGAAAATATAATCTATCGCTTACCGAGTATAGCAAAGTCCCATCTAAAGGAAAAAGTCCAAAAATTGTCAATTCAACTTTCTGGTGTATGGTTTGCATCGTCACAAAGTTTAGCTGAAACAACGAAAGCATATCGCCATCTACTACCAGAATCGCAAAGTGATCAGCAGCCATCTATTGAAATTGTAAATTGTGGCATGCACCAACCAAGAAAATACGAACCCAACTTTGTTGTTGAGCAAATTTCAAATCTATATGCAAATGTTTTAAAACATATTGTAGCCTCAGTATGAAAAATATCGTGTCACTATTTGCATAGCCATCTCCTAAGGTAATCAATTTTATACAGTTTCATCAACGTACTGATTTAGTGTTCGCAAAGTACTTTACCGCTCGAGAAAGTTCACAGCACTTCGAGAGCGGCACAGTTCTTTGTGCTCGAATTGCTCGCAACACCAAAACAATCTGTTTTTGATTCTACGTTCAGTGTTTGAATGTTGAAGTAGCGGTTATGTTATTGGCATTATTGCGAAAATGCTTTTTGCCTACCATTTCTTCTAAAGCGGGCTTATTCTCGACATTCCACGTATTCCAATGCAAGCATTCCACGAAATACTCCGCCTCTCCGTTGACAGCCATGCACGGAACAACGAGTTCTATCAGGCCGATGACGGATATGACGTTTGACGTGACGAGGTGGACGTCAAGATTAGCTTCGCCGGTCTCTTCGTACAGCGCTTTGCACATTATGTAAGTTTGTTGAAGAATAAACGGGAAAGATGCAGTCACTAAAACAAAAACACATATAGTTTTTTCCTGTAAATACACTTTTAATTATCATATAGAAATTGCAAGAATAAAGGTAATAATGAATGCAGAAACTGGTACAATAGAAAAAACAGAAACTAGATACCTTTCTTCAAATCACTTAAAAAAAATTACCAATAACAAACAGTTGCATGATAAATCCTCTATTGATTGTCTCTGTTTGATCGATGAAGATATCGTAGACGTGTCCAATTTTCTTCACCAAGTAAACTTCGTCTTTCGAGTGTTTACGTTTGTAGTTTGTGGCGTTGATATCGCTTATGAACCAGACAGTCTTTTTGGTCATTTTCTTTGTGGCTTCATTTAAGGCTGCCATTTGGACTTGAAGAAGAGTCAACAGGATCATCCAGGAGGTTGTGACACCGTTCATAAGGATTATTGGAAGGGTTATTCCTATGCACGCTTCGCATATTTCTGAAACAAGGATACATTTCTGCAAGGTGTTACGAGTTCCAAGTTCCTGTGGCTCCTCGGCCTCCTAATTCGCCTGATTTGAGTCCTTGTTACTTTTTTGTCTTCCCGAAATTGAAAAACTTATTTTGGGACAGTCGAAAACGTTCAGAGGCTGTAACCGACTAGCAGTAAAGTTATTTTCAGGATGACAATTGAAATTGTTTTTATATTTGTATAACAAAATAAAAAAACAGTGTCATCACTTAATTTATAGACCTCGTAATCAAACGTACTAAGACAGAACATATATGAAAATGAATATTTGAAAAAACAAAAATAGAAACAAATTACAAGAATACAATAAGGTGTTTGCTTTTTAAATATTTTCACTCATTTTCTTACCTAGAGAGCGTGTCTGTTTCCACACCTTAACAACCGTTGTTCCAACTAACCCAATAATCTTCAAAACATTAAATCCATACATAAAGTAGCCCAGCCTCTTGACGTATCCGTACCGAGAACGCTTGATATCCATCAATTTCAACTTTGTGTCCGTTTCCAAAATAACGTTGACGTATTTTGCGATAAGTTCCGTCGAGAAGCTACTTAAAACGCACATTGTGAGAGGAATAAGAATCCTCATACAAATTAAAATCCACACTGCATAATCCACGACGTTTTTACCGCTCCAGAAACGATTGTTGGTGAAATAAGTGTAGCCGCAATAGCAACTAGCCGATAACGATAGTAGAAACTGGAAGATGAAAATGACGTTGAAGCGTTTCTGGGGTACAGCTACACCTTCAGAAAAATCAACTTGAAACACCATGAAGACATTTGAAAAATATATCAGCGGTTTCAACACTGATTGAAAATCCTCCATAATACCGTTTCTAGCTAAGCAAGAGCAGACTGACAAATAATGATGGATTAGTTTGAGTTGCTGAGGTTGATTATAGCTGGAAGGCTATTCTAATGTTTGGACAACAAAGCTTGGTGTCCTGTTTGATGGAGAAATGTGTTTGTAAAGGACAATCATTTAGCATAGCTGCTTTTTGATTAATTGGGTTTGGCGTAAAGCGACTCTTATTTGCTGGGAGCGTTTACGAATTAGATTCATAGTACAGGCGTTGGAGTATTGGACATTTGGAACTGAATATTGAATCCAACAGAGTCTTCTTAAGCATATGGCCTCGCTTATAAAAATGGAAAATAAAAAAGCAACAAGCATTTAGAGCTACCATGTTTTTTGATTAGTAGTATATGCATATACCAACAAAATGACTCATTATCGTTAAAATTCATGTTCTATTTTTTCTTTTGACTATGAATGTGCCATGATTGATAACCGTAATTAAAATTAGTTCCAGCATTGTTTGTTCGTAATGACATTCGTCTAACGTTGCATAGTTTTTTGTTGTTGCATGTTTCGCATATGTAATCACTAATTGCACATGTATGGTGAAGAATTAACATTGCAAACTGTACCAGGCATTTGAATTGGATGAATGGAATTTTTAGGGATTTTATGCGATATCCACTTTTGGTTTGAGTATCGTTTAAATTCAGATTATGCATTTTCACTTTGCCTTTTGTTATTAGCATTAATTTTAGCGATATTTTGTAATAACTTCAAAAAGGGTGATTTCATTCTGATGAATAAAAAATAATTCCAGAAAAATTAGTAAGAAATAAAAGTTTAAGGGGATCTCCATATAAAATTTTCTTTGACCTAAATTTTAGGTTACTTGTTTAGGCCTCATTTAGCTATTTTCTCAAAAAAAAATCATACAAATGCATTTAGTTTTTTTTGGAGAAAACTAACCATTTCTACCGGAATGTCGAAAACAGCCTTCTAGCGGTAACATGTGAAACTAACAATACTTCAAATATTATAACATCGGTAGCCAAATAATAGCTTTTTTCCAGTAGCCCAAGTTTGTTGAAATAGGCTCAGCCGTTTCGTTTTTTTTACGGAACTTTTGAATACTCGCACCACTTTATTTTTAGAGATACAGCAAAAATTGTCAAACAATATTTGGAACCGATTTACTTAGGAAACAACTCAAATCACGACTTGAATTTTGTAAATCTCTCTTTCTCTTCCCTGTGATTTGGATCCGTCACTTCGCATCCAGATTCCCATTTGATAATTAAAATATAATAGACCACTCATCTATGTCTAAGGTGTAAGTCAAATAATGAGAAACTCCCCCGAGTTTGGCAACACATATCACGAGCTTTTAAAGTCTCGATACTTTTTGAATACACCTGGTAGACTCCAACCAATGCCGTTACGAAAAGCGAACGCTGAAACAAAAAGCTGGCAAAGAAATTAATGAAAATGCAAATCAAGTCGGCGTGGATGTGGTCGAGTTATAAACAATATAACAAATAAATAATGTAATTTTTGTATGGCAATTGGAAACCACAAAAACTGACTCATAATCGCTGAATAATGATTTTGTTCTTGAAGAAACGTATCAAGTGTGTTTCTCGTAGCGATCTGTAATTCGGAATCGAATATATATAATTCAAGGTATGATTCTGGTGTCACACATACGCGTAAAAAGGTATTGCGATTGCACAGGAACAAAAAATAATACCCTGGTTTTGATTTACCGAGCTTACGTTTCAAAACTCGGATTGGATCTTGAAAATTGCATATTTAGCAAGATTTTGTGTATAGTTATAGGAATTCTTAGGATTTCCCCCTGCCCCCCCCCTCTGAAAATATTTGCTACCCCCTCTCTTCAAGTTCTTACAGTTGCGGGGCAAGTACACTTTCACAGAAAATTATCTCCTGGTGGTGATGCCCCTGAGAAAAATCCCTGGATACGTGCATGACTAGTCTATTCCTCCTCCATGACGAGACTTGCCTGGCTTTCGAGCTGCACGCATTTGACAGATGCGCTGTGAGACACAAATGTCTTTTAATCATCTAAAATATGCCATGGAAGCGCCGCAGGGCTTCGTCCTAGGGTTGTTAGCATATGGAAGGAAGAAAATGGCTTGAAACTGTATACAGTCGAGTTTTTCTGCCTGAGAATGGCTATAAAAGCTTTCCTGTAAAAACATCATCTAAAATAATCTGGGATATACTTTAGGTCTCGTGGTCGTATTTACTAACATTTTGTGAATCTCAGATGTGTGCAGCTTTTCAGAAAGACAGTATAGATGCGTGCTTCTCCTCCTACAGAATAAATAATCGTATTTGTCAGATTTAGTGAACGTTAGCCATTAGTTGCAAGCGTCGTTACATAATGCAATGTGAATAACCTTTGCTGTGTGTTTAGCTGGTGAATTGAAGGACAATATCTATATGGGCTGGGTTGGGACATGATCTAAAACGTGATACGTATCTAAAATTGAACTTCAGTTTATTATACAAGGGAGTTTCACAGTTCATGCTGATCGGAAGAAATCTACCGTTATTTATAGAACGCTTGGAAAACGGATCATATAAAGCTTGAAACGTTATATCAAAATTTGAAGAAAATTCGCCAGTATGAAGTAACTTGAGACTTGCCACGTGTATAGAGTAGAAAACTGCTGAGGATCGAAAACCTTCACTAGCCAAATTTCATATTTAAAAAAAATCGTATGCCATTTTCCAAAAATAGAACAATTCGCACGATTTACCAGCTACCTACAACTGAGCGCAAACGAGCGTTTACACTTTTCTCCTGTCCACTTTTTTCCCATAAAAACAAATGCACCCATCCTACGCTTGTCAAGTCGTGAAAATAATATCGTATATCAAAAAAAAAAGGAGTGGGCGTCCATTTTGAGCATTGACGTCAATTTCATTTCGATAATAACAACTTTGTTAAGAGATCGTTAAGCATTTCCGTCGGGATGTAAGAGCTTGCCAAATGCCTTCGAACTTATAAAATTTAAAATGCGACGCTTTGGAAAATTGACAAAAAAAGTTTGATGAGTGTATATTTCCAGATATGATTTAATGATGCGGCTGCCAAATGTCGCAAATCGTAGATATGTTAGGCGTTATTAAAAACACAACAAAAAATAGCGTCCAGTAGGTTGATGAAGGATTATGTTTAAGCTTTTGTCCATGTAGATACGCGCGAAAAACATAACTCTCCTTCTGAGGCAGTCCGACTTCTTTTCACCTTTCCCGGTTGACTGTACTATTCATGTATTTGTCTGCCAAACTGGCAACACCGCCAGGCAGAACGGCAACACTGCCGACGTTGCGCCTCCTCACGGCCAACACGCAAACTGAAAAGTAGCACCAACGACTGGAAAATGGGTGAAGAAACTATTTGACGATTATTTTTTGCAGATGCAGCAAAATAACAATTTAAAAAGTAATAACAGATAAAGCACATGTTAAGGTATTAAGGATCTGATTTGCAGTATTGAGGTGCTGTGATTTTTAAACTATTCTCTTTGATAATCTCACAAAAGTAATATTTATTTCACAGCACTGCTTGTATCAAAGTCAGTATTCGATGTGAGTATCCTCGATTCCTTGAATGTTTGTTTGCAATCCTCAGCGTATCTACTTCAGCGAATACAATATCGTAATTGCCCATCTCTATGGAGAAAATAGTCGATGTCAATCTTCACCCTGACACCACCTTAAGATACCAAATTATGCTAAAGAATGCACAGAACAAAATAAAATGGCTTTAAAGTATCATTATTCAACTCAAATTCCTAATTAGATTAATATGTTTTCTTAGCATTTTTGCTGTTTGTATGCTCTGTATATTCCTTCAATGAAAATATATTTTCTGTCTTGTCTTTATTCAGGGTCAGCTTATTTGTATCTACCCAGTTTATCGCAGTCGTCTGTACGATCGGAGCCTTCCCAGGAAGCTCGGAAATATATTTGGGTATAACAGAGATTGTAGTATCATCATGATTTGGAATAGACTTTAATTTGATGACAATCGAGCGATTTATGTGTACAAAATCATTAATTCCAAGATATGTGGATTTTTAAGATTTCTAAGCATTTTCCCTGCTCTGAGGCCCCTTCAAAATGGAGTCGTGTTGTGGTCCTACCTCTAC